TGCATTTACATTTTTCATTTTTTTTTTTTTTTTTTTTTTTTTTTTTTTTTAAATTTTTTATTTTTCCTCCGCCTCCTCCCCCTCCCTACCGAAAGGCATTTTGTCCCAGTGATGCTACTTATTTGATAATTTAGTAAGGAATCCCGATCCGAAATGTTAACAAAGTAAAAAACTAGAAAAATGGAAAATTGAATGTCTTCTACTGGATGTGATAATAAATCCGGGTAACCGTATTTTCAATTTCTTTTAAAATAGACAATGGGACTTATACTAAGTTAAAACTTAATGTGATAAAGTATAGCCATTTGTGAACCAGGACTCCTTACCTGTTATCTCCCCTCAATCCTTCCCTCTGTTTTTGTGTCGTCCTTTTTGTGTTATCTGTAATAGGAGTAGGTAGTCCCTTCTACCGCCCGGTCAACCTCCTCCCCTTCTATTGGACATGAGTAGAGGCTTACACCTTGTTTCTTGTCTAGGATGGGGTTCCCAGTACTGTCTTCTCTCTCCGGCCTCTGTATTAGTGCAGGTCTGTTTCTCCCGTGATGCGTGCAGTCTGTGGCAACATCTCTTCATTCTGAGGGTACACGGCTGACAGTTCTCTGGTTGCTGTTTCCGACTGGTAGTTAGGAGCCCTAACTCTTGCGTAGCGTCTTGAGCAGCTGCTCTGATCAACAGTTGTATAATACCGGGGTGTTTGTAGTGCCATGTCGCGCGTGGAAAGGTGTCCCTGCAGTCACCTCCGGTGGGCAGCCCTGAGGCCACATAATGATGCGGATTTTGCCAACTCCTCTCTGCCCGCGTCACGGTCGAAACTGTCTGTTTTCTCTTACCTCAGGCCTTCTCATCTTTGCAAATAAATCCAACATGAGTTACAAAAAACCGAAAGATTTACCCTAAACCAGCATCTCAGAAACCACCTAAACCCCTCAACATTTCATTCTCCAACATCCGGGGCATTAGAACAAACTTCTACAGTCTGGAATCTTTCCTCACTGCAAACGGCCCGGATGTACTGGCTCTCTGCGAGACAAACCTTGTCTCATCTATCCCCTCTTCTGATCTCTCGATCCCCGGCTATCTTCCTCTCCTCAGAAAAAGACTCTCTAACCCACATGCACGGTCTTGGTGTCTACGTCAAGGAACATCTCCCCTTGGCCAGAGAGTCCTCTCTTGAATCGCCTGACCAGTCATACATGTGTCTCCGTCTCTCTCTCCTCAATGCAGTAAGCTATCTCTTCTTCCTTTACCGCTCTCCATCCTCTCAAGACTGTGAGATACTTGATAGCATTTCAGACAACATAGACAAGGCTCTCTCCCTCCACCCGTTTGCTCACATTTTTGTGTTTGGAGACTTTAACGCCCATCACACTCTGTGGCTTAAGAATGCTACTACTGACCATGCAGGCATTCAAACGCTTAATTTTTCAATCTCCCATTCCCTCACACAGATAGTTAACTTCCCCACTCGTTTTGCCCTCAACCGGGTAAGTAAAGCCTCTCTACTCGACCTGTGCTTTACCTCCATCCCCGAATCCTGCAGCGCCTCGCAACTATGCCCACTTGGTAACTCTGACCATGCAGTAGTATCGGTTAACATCTCCTTTAACTCCTCCCCTATAAAGAACCTCCTACCACTAGAACTTCGTTAATCAACGAGCTGGAATCGTTCCGTGATTTCTTTCATCCCATCAAGTGCTTCTGAGGGTCTCTTCCTGGGTTAAAGCTGGAATCGACGCTCCATCCCATCAAGAAAATATGGGCTTCGACGCGCTCCTGCCCTTGGTTTTCGGCTGCTTGCCATCCGCCATCGCCCATAGGAACCACTACTTCCACCTATACCGTAGCGACATGTCTGACTGCAATAGACGTCTCTTTGCCGCCGCCCATAACGATTGTAAGCGTGTCCTAAATGATGCTAAGTCACTATTTGCGGCTCGAATGAAGGAACGTATTGCATCTCGCAAATTTGGCTCCAAAGATTATTGGCGTCTCTGCAAGAGTGTATTGAATAAGTGCAAACCCTCTATACCTCCTCTATTCAACCAGTTCGAAGTCTTGACCTCCTCTACCGACAAGGCTGAATGCTTTGCTCAGAAATTTTCATCCAACTCGACGCTCGACTCTTCTGGTGTACCCATACCTGACTTTCCTCTTAGAACTGAGGCCATATTGAGTGGGTTAAACATAACCCCAACCTTGGTACTGGGCGTTATCTCCAATTTAGATCTCAACAAGGCGAGTGGTGGAGATGGGATACCAGCCATTTTCTTAAAAGAAATGCGCGCCTGAACTGGCGCCCGCCCTTTCGAAACTATACAACTACTGCCTCAAGGAATCTTGTTTTCCTGACTGCTGGAAGTTCTCTTCGATTGTTCCTGTCTTCAAGAACTCCGGCGACCCCTCTGACCCTTCCAACTACCGTCCTATCAGTCTCCTTCCCCTCTTCGGCAAAATCTTCGAAGCTCTAATCAATACCGGGGTGGTTAACCACCTCACATCCAATAATCTGCTCTCAGACAAGCAATATGGTTTCCGCTTTGCCAGATCTACAGCCGATGTGCTCACAGCCATCACGGAAACAGTCTACCGAACTCATTGCTGCCATATATGGTCTGGCGCCCCTTCTGTTTGCCTCGGGGTTCTTGATAGGCTCCAGAGGCGGATATGTAATATGGTTGGCCCTACCCTGGCGTCTCGTCTACAGTCACTTTCTCACAGACGCACCGTCGCCTCCCTCTGTCTGTTCTACAAATACTTTCATGGAAATTGCTCCGAGGAACTGCATTCGCTGGTTCCCAAACTTCATGAGTTCAAGCGCCCTACGAGGCTGGCATCCCGCTCTCACCCCTTCACTGTCGAAACTCATAAATGTAACCGTCTCTACTACTCTAATAGCTTCATGTCTCGCACCTCTCGCCTGTGGAACTCTCTTCCCTTCTCCTGTTTCCCTGAGAGTTATAATCTCCAGCTATTCAAGTGTAATGTCAATCGACATCTCCAGTTGCCTTAATCTATCTACTACCCTCATCCTTTCTTCTATCACTCCTATCTGATCTTCCTATTTTCTGTAACCCCTTGCGTCCTAGTGGCTCCCCGCCTTGCTTGGGGTGAAATGCTTAAAAAAAAAAAAAAAAAAAATGGATTTGACTGGAATTCGAACTCGGCTCTCCGATTCCTCAACCCTAGCCGCGTATCTATTAATGTACACATTAACCGCACTAATCGAGGGATTCCTTTATACATATGCAACAATGACAGTAAAATCTTTAAAATGTTTGGCTTTATCTGGTATTTTTATCTAATAAATTGTATAAAGTCTCTAAAATAAAGAATAAAAAAATGTGGCTCAAAGCCAAAGAGAAATTCGTTGAGTAGAAAATTACTCTTCCACTCGCTGCTCAAACTTTGTTAGCTAGTCGAGTTCATTGACCCAACCATGCAGCCTTATTCGTTTTAAGAGAATACTGCTTCATTCTAAACGAACGCATATGGTATATTTAGGCTGCAATCCCGCGTTTAGACATGTTCCAGTAAATAAAACGAACGGGGAATGTTTATGAAATCTTGTTTCAATTTATGCGCTCATGTCAAAAGAGTATTTCCAGCTTTTAGTTTACGGCTTGTTGAAGTCAATTTACTTGCGCCAGAAACGACATACTTATTATCATATTGCAAGTATATTTGAGGACAGGCTGACGCTTACAGTTTGGCTTATAATCCAATGAAATGAAAACTCAAGAAGAAGCTTTAAAGATATACTCCTAAACATTGGAAATAACTTACACCTGTTCCTGATCAGCATTCAGCTCAATTCACTGAGAGTTGTAGGAATATTTACCATGAAAATCAGTATTACTTGCCGTATGTTCGGGTTATCGGCATCGACTAAATCGGTTCCCCCACCATGTTTTTTGTTCTCGTGAAGAGGGTGGCGAGATACTAGACCTGATTAAAAGAAAGACCTGGCAAAGGGCGGAAGGACTTTCTTGTAGGGTAAATGAGTATATAGCTCTATGAGGTAGAATGGGGTTCATAGCTATGCATACAATTAGTGGTAGCAATTATCACGAGTATCAGGATGAAACAGACGGTCGCATTTTGCGATAACGTTGTAAATCCCAATTCGATGATTGACGTTCGGTCATCAATTCCCCTCCCCCAAAATGGAAAAATGAAGAAACCAATTTTGTTTATCATGCATGTAGAAGGTTTTTTTTTTTTTGATCATGAATTGATGGTCATAAATAACGATTTATCAATTAGGGATTGTTTTGATCTATTCGTTTACTATGGCTTATCAATCCTTTGCTGGTTATCTAAAGCCAGAAAATATTTTTAGAACATGAAATTTTTTTAAAGATAATAATGGTTTCAGTGATACAAATTTTACTAATTAACCCATAGTTGGGGAGAAAAGAGGTGGATTTATGCCTATCCCAAGGATTTTTGCGCGTAAGTGAATATAACTGTTGTGGACCCGGAAGAGATCCGAAAGAAAACTCAAACTCAGCAATTCAGTGAAAACGTTTTTATTAACAAAAAGAACGAATGCAAAAGTGTTGCACGTCCGTCTGACGGCTAAGTACAGTAGCCAACTCGTTCGCAATATTTAACGATCCCCTCACGAGGAATGTATGTGGTAAAAGGCCGGGTTTAATGTGGGTTTCTCCGAGCCGGTAGGCTCGGCCAAAAAACATACCCTTTGAACCCACCTAGACGGGTTCAGGGCCTGTCTACCTCCCCGGACGAAACTTTGCCCTTCGTCCGGGTTCCTCTCTGTCAAAGCAGAGAGTTCGACAGAAGCCGTACACGTAGTCAACCGTAGTCAACTCGTTCGCTCGTCTACAGTCCTCTTGCGAGGCAGAATCTAGTCATAGACGAGTCTATTTTGTCCATGAAGGTAGGTCCCCATAACAATAACGAACCCAGCTAGAATTGGAACTCGGCTATCTGATTAACAATTCCGAGCCATTATCCATTACAGCATTCGCACATCCAAGCTTACGGCACCAGGTATTCATAAGCGGTTACCGGTTCAAGTACTGACCGGGATCGACGTTGCTTAACTTTGGTGATCGTTCGGGAACTGGTGTTTCAGTGTGATGTGGCCGTAAGTGAGAAGTTTCCTTGTAACGGAGTTTCTTCCTTTTTCAAGGAGAATTTTTGCCTCTTAACGAACACGGGGCCTGAAATTGCTAGGAAAAAGCAGGCAAAAAGAAAAGAAAAAATTAGAAGTCTCCCTTTCTCTTTTTTCCTTTCTCTCCTTCACTGACTATTAGTAGAATTAACTTTCTAAGGGAAATAAAAACTGTACATTCACATAATATATACAAATATATTAAATCAAGGGTGAGAGACGAGCAAGGTTAAGAGAAAATATTACTCTCCTTGTTGTTTAACACCACGAGGAGAAACCTTTCCTCGGGTAAAAAGATATTTAATTTGATTTTCAGCAATAGGTAGAGACAGACAAATTTTAGTATATTGGTCCCAAGAATATAGTGGAAACGAATATGACAGCACAACAGACATTTGAACAATGACCGAGGTCGCCAAACACCCTTTCTAATCACAACGACGATCATCAGTCGTATGTAGAAGTTGGTGGTAGAATCACGGACCTATAGCCACGTAAAGCAATCACACTAGATACCGTGACAACGTCACAGTTTCACTGTGAACTGTGGAAGCTACAGTGACTAAACAGAGGAAATGGTTCTCCTTACTAAGAGAGAAAGCTATCAAGGCCGATATTAGAAGTTTAATGCTGTTGTCTAAAACGTGACATACCTGGTGAAAAACACAAGAGAAAATCATTGAAGACGTCTTTTCTTCCATATATATATATATATTCCAGTTGAAAAGTCACCATTAATAAGACCGTTATTGTTCGTCAGAATCAAACAATGTTATTATTAAAAGACACTGGGAAATTTGGGTGTATTCGCATTTTTGATTCACTATTCACATTTATGATTCACCATTTATATTGTATATCTGATTTATTACATTATATTTGTAATTCACTATTCGCGTTTATGATTCACGATTTATATTGTACTAGCAGCATGGTCCGGCGTTGCTCGTGCTTGATTAAAAAATCGTACGATTCATACAGCAATCGCTATCACTTGACTTAAAATATTTTTGCCCTTCCTTGCTTTCAAAGGAGTGCCCTTTTCCGTGCTGATGTTGCTACATGCCTTACTTCTTGCCTATCTGACACTATGAATTTTTTCTAAGCTCTATACTAAACATTAAATCTGTTACGAAAAAAGAACTAAACAAAATGAACACAAAACGATCAGCTTTAAAAAAGGACTCGTAACTGGAAAAACCGAATGAAAAAAGAATGTTAACAACAAATACTTTTTCACACCCAACCCAGTTCTGCAGAATCAGAATCAACGTTGAGTTTAAGCAAGCGAATGAGCCAATTGGAATAAAGTGCCATGCAGATTTAAATTTTTCCCACTTGTGACGAATGCAGCTATCGATTTTTTTTGCATGCTAGTTAACATTCGTGTCAGTCAGCTGTTGGCTCTCACGCGGGCCAATAGAATCTTCCTGCCTATTCGTGGCAGCCAGCTATTGGCTCTCACTCTGGCCAGTACAAAATGGCAGCAAACTACATGAAAACTGCCGTAGAAGCATGAAAACATCGATTATTTCCACTATCGATGGGAGTTGGGAAATGCAAAGTCGGTCTTGGCCTTCCCGCTAACTTGGAGCATGTGCATGTAAATTTTGGTGCAAATCCGTCGAAAATTGCGGCCGTGCATTCGTTACACACACACAGACACACTCACACACACACAGACACACACACACACACACACATCATGCCTTTTATAGATAGAGATTTGTGATTCATTATTCACGTTTATTATTCACTATTCGGATTTATGATTCACAATTCAGATTTATGATTCACTATATATATATTATATTTAAGTTTCATTAGATCATATTGAGATTCAATATTCAAATTTATTATTTACTATTCGCATTTATCATTCATTGTTCGCTTTTATGATTCATTATTTATATTGTATTTATGATTCATTAGATCATTTTTCTGATACATTATTCGCATTTATGTTTCACTATTCGTATTTATAATTAACTATTTATATTGTATTTATGATTCTTTAAATCATATTCGTGATTCACTATTTGACTTTATGATTCACTGTTCGGATTTATGATTCACTATTTAGATTGTATTCATTAGATCATATTTGGGATTCACTATTCACATTTATGATTCACTATTTAGATTGTATTCATTAGATCATATTTGGGATTCACTATTCACATTTATGATTCACTATTTAGATTGTATTCATTAGATCATATTTGGGATTCACTATTCACATTTATGATTCACTATTCGGATGTCTGATTCACTATTGGGATTGTATTTATGATTCATTAAGTCATGTATAGTTTCTATTTTTTTTTTTTTGCTCGTCTTTGTGTTTTATCAAAATCTGGCGAATTAGTTCAATATTGGAAATGGTTTTCTTTTTTATACACGGCAACGAGTTTCTCTCACTAGCCAGCGGTCAATGCCATTTCATAAATTCTTATTTTATGCGAAATACTAATATCCCTCTCATTAGAAGTGTTCCCATTTCGCACATTCAGCATTGTAGATTGAACAAGGAACCTCTAGTCCATAAGTTCAGGCCACTACCGCTACGTTAAGCACGCAGGTATATTGTATCGTTGAGATCATTAAGAGGAATCTTGTTTATGTAAACTACCAGCACACGAGGTGATCATGTACCACGTCACCTTGAGGTCATCGCAGTACATGCGCTGAGAGGTCTTTGTAATCAAAGACAAATTAAATCATCCTCTGCACTTATTCCCCTCAGTTGTTTGTTTACTTGATTATTAACAGAAGATGGCTTTCACCTGGGAACGCATTCACCCACGAATTAAACGATTTTATTTATTCAAACAGAATCGACAAGAATCAAATGCTAAGCGAACCGAACTTTTGCCCCAAATGATATTTAACTAGACATTTTCGTCAGTAGTCAGAGCAGCCGACTTGTGGCTAGGTAGCTTAGGGTTATATTCTAAAGAGTTAGTGTAACGGGTGACCATTTTATGTTGTGCTGATAGAGGTGAGCACTTTGGCGTCATCAGTTTGTAGGAGAATCCCAATTTTTATTGTAGGATTATCATTTTCTATTGAGACTGTTGGGAGATGTTTGGTGATAGGTTGTATATTACGCGAGAGAGACAGATGAATGATAGTGTTCACCTGGGAGTGTGAGATGTACATTTAACAATTGAAAGTGCTTGATACCATGTATATTAAGTCTAAGCAGCCTTGCCTCTATAAACAGAAGGAATGCACATTCTGCGTTCTTGAAGGTCCTCGGCCTACCACATCGTAAACATCAAGACTGGTTTGATGACAATAATACAGAGGTTCAGCAGTTTATAGATCAATTGCACTCATCTCATAAATCATAGACTGAGGACAAGAACTCCTCCGCTAAGAAAATAGCTTACAAGAAGTGCAAAATTCAGGTTCAGCGAGCTCTCAGATTCACGAAAGAGCGTTGGTGGTCTGAAAAGGCCACTGAACTCCAAGAAGCTTCAGATAAAAAGGATATAAAGGCTTTCTATGCTGGCCTCAAGAGCGTTTTTGGTCCTCAGAAAAGTGGTATTGCTCCAATCTCCACAGCAGATAGTGAAATTCTCCTGACGAATAAGTCAGACATTTTGGATCGCTGGAAAGACCACTTCGAAACTGTGTTAAACACCACTTCGGTTAATAATGAGGAAGCCATCACATCAATTGAGCAAAATTCAGAAATTCTGGAGTTGTCTTTTGAACCTACCTATCAAGAGGTAAGTGACTCCACCAAGAAGATCTCATCTACTCCTAAGGATCCTATTCCACCCGAAGTGTATAAGCATGGTGGCCAAAAGTTGGTAGAAAAGTTACATCTCCTTTTCGTGGAGATATGGAAGGCAAGCTGTGTTCCACAGGATTATAAAGACGACTCTATCAAACACCTACACAAAAACAAGGGTTTCAGGTGTGTCCGTGATAATCATCGGGGGAATAACACTAATTTCAATTGCAGGCAAAATCCTAGATAGACTGATTCCAAACAGAATAATTATATACCTTGCTGACAGCATCTATCCTGAATCGTAGTGTGGTTTTCGGTCGGGTCGTGGCACCAGTGACATGATATTTTCTCTTCGTCAAGTTGCAGAGAAGGTTCGCGAGAAAAAACCAGGTGTTGTACATGGTGTTTGTGGACTTGACGAAGGCCTTTGACACTGTGAATCGAGAGGTTATTTGGCAAGTCTTGAGGAAACTCGGCATCCCAGAAAACATGCTAAAGGTGATCATCTCCTTTCATGAAAGAATGAAAGCTAATATCGTATCTGATGGTATGATGTCAGAAATCTTTGATGTCATGGACGGCACAAAGCAATGGTGTGTCATGGCCCCTGTCCTTTTTGCCCCCTTTTTTTTTCTCGGTGATGCTGAAAGATGCAATCACAGACACAGAGAGCAGCGTCAAGTTTCAGTTTTGAACAATTGGTGGACTCTTCAATCATCAGCGCTTCAAAGCCAAGACCCACCTTCGTACGCAAATTATTCGTGGTTTGTTGTTTGCTGATGCTGCTGCTCTTGTTTCGACATCCTTTGAGGAGGCCCAACATCTAATAAATCGTTTCTCTGCTGCATGTCAAGCTTTTGGTCTTACAATTAACATAAAGAAAACTGAAGTAGTACACCAACCTTGTCCTATTCCGAAGCAATTCTGTGGTGAGAAACAAAAACTACAGAGTCTACAAATTTCCCGAGAGACCATTGAAAATAGAAGACAAAGCCCTGAACTATGTAAAGTCTTTTATCTATCTTGGTAGCAAAGTCAACTACAGTGGATCTTTAGATGATTAAATCATGCATGGGATTGCTAAAGCTACCAGTGCTTTCGGCAAACTTCCCCATCGCTTGTGGAATGAGCGGTGTATTCGACTGGATACGAAAATTCAGGTTTACATAGCTGTTGTACTTGCCATCCTTTTGTATGGCTCAGGGTCGTGGACTTCATACAGGTACCATAT